TCACTGAGACCAAAATGTTAAGAGTGTGCCGCAGTCAGATCACATAACGCGGACATCAATATGACTTGCAAGAGAATGAGAATTCCTATCAATCTGGAAAACATGTACCACAATTTCATCAAAACTTATTCACAAAAAATTTACCGAGCAAAATTCCAACCAACATGCACGGCTTCCGAAAAAACCTCTCATGCCTGTTAAATCTCCTCACTGCAGAGAAATCTGGGTCAAATCAAGGGACAACAGAAGACCCTTTGACGTCGTTGTCATAGGCTTCAGTAAAGCCTTCGATAAAGTTCATCACAAAAGCCTACTCAAGAAGCTGCAAAGTTTTGGTATCAAAGGCAGGTTACTTAACTGGCTCAGGGGATTCCTCATAGATAGGAGGCAGAGGGTTAAGATCAACTCCAAACTCTCCTCTTGGACAGCCATGCGTAGCATAGTGCCACAAGGCACGGTACTTGGAACTCTCCTATTTATTTTTGTATATCAGTGACTTATCTCCGATCATCAATTCCCCTATGGTCCTATACGCAGATGACTTAAAAGTCTGGAGAGAGCTGAAGGGGCAACAGTGATATTTCCACGTTGTAAGAGGACCCCAACAAACTGTCAGATTGCTCCAGAGAATGGATGCTCCCTATCGATGTACCGAAATGTGCTACCATGCGCATCGGACACGCAAGCATCAGCTCCTATGAACTAGGGGGAATAACGCTCCTATCAATTCAGACTCATTTGGATTTAGGTGTCATAGTGAGTCTCAGTTTAAAAACTACAGCACCTTGTCGCGTGGTGGCTGCGCGTAGTTTCAGATACTTATGGGTGATTCGCGGAGTCATTACTAGAATCACCAGGGATATGTCCATCTCCTCATACACATCTCTGGTGAGGTTGTAACAACAGAAGACAAGGGCCAGGCAACAGATCGTTTATTAAGGAAATCAAAGCATATTTATATATTTTCATGTACATTATTATAGATTATTTAAGCAAACAAACACAGTCTTCTGATTGGTTGTTTCTCGCCTAAAGTTAATCCTTCATCTCTTTGTGACTGTTTCTTGAATATCAGATCATCTATATGTTAACTGTATCCGCCTACACAAAGTCTGCTGTGGTCGGTTTTTGAACCAGTCTTTGTTCATATTTCCTCACGACCAATATTGAGAACGTAAACATTGACGTAAATTACTGTCTACCAATTTGGCTAGTAGACAGCTCTCACCACAAGGTCAAGCCTGGAAAACTGTATCCAGGCAGCCATTCCTTGTCTTAAGGGGGACTCACATATTCTAGAAAGGGTTAAGAGGAAGTCAACACGTATGATTCTCGGCATGACTAATTTATCATACGAGGGAAGAATAGACAGTTTAGCTCTCTTCTCCCAGCATTCCGTAGGCAGAGGGGAGATTTGATTACAATGTTCAAAATTTTAAATAATGACTATGGACCTGACCTATTCTTTCTGTTCCCTCCCACCAGGTCGGAACACCTTAGATGACATAGCAAGAGAGTTCAAAAGCCAAGGAAAAATTATATTGCTTTTGAGTACTGGTTCTCAAACCGAGTAATAAACTCTTGGAACAGATTCCCAGAAGAGGTGGTGTCTGCAACCTAAACTGATTTATTCAAGAAGGGTTCATACAAGCATAGAAATTTACTGGAAAAGGATTAACATAGGCTCCAAACCGGCTGAAATTATCCCGCATGCTCAAGGTCATTGGTGGAGTGAGACGCTCAGAGGTCATTTTCGTCCATGTTAGTCGGCCATGTTGGATTGCAGTTCCGTAGCCGTTCGTTTACACGTTTATTCTGCAGTTATCCACAATTTATCTTGATGCATATTGTTCACAGATGTTGCTTTTCAACTCATTTTTGTTTCCGTTGCTGTTAAAATTAGTTATTTCATTGGTTTCGAAAGTTTTTACCACCAGATCAGTGCATATATTTCATTATAGTTGTTTCATACCTTGCATTCATGCGTGGTTTCAGTGTTTTAGTCGTTTTTCAGCTAATAATGAAATAGTGCTGTGTGGAAGTTTTGAAAAATATGCACGTGAACATGTTCAGCTGATAAAAGCTGTTGTTTTTAGTTCATTTGCTGGTTGCCGTTATTGATTCTGGCTCAGTTGGTTACTTAGAATGTAGAAATCTCGAAAAAACAATGTATTTCACATTCATTTTTACAACATGCAGCAATCTACGAGTGAATCCGGTGAGGAGAATATGACCAGGGTTGCTATTGCCAAGTTTTCCGAAGAGCATATTAAACCTGGAGATTTCAGAACGTGGTTTGAAGTTGAAAAAGCTTTGAAGCTTTTCGAGAAGCTGAGCATACCATCAGTGTATATTATCAGTTAAAGGACCATATATATTATTAGAGAATCTAAATCAAACAGGGTTGAGCCACTTGAGAAGTATGAATCTTGTGTCTGTACGAAGTTTTGGAACTGAAAGAAACTTGATAGCAATCAGAAACCCCTAAATGGTAAGCGTTACCTATGTTTTATAATGCCCAATGTACTAGATCCAGATACATGAACTAGGACCGCCTGTAGCAAAGCCAGTGTTAACAGCCATTCAGTGTATTGCAAAATGACTTAAAAAGCGGATAACATGGTGATCTGGTGAGTGTACGAACTATCCCAGTTAAAGGTAAGACTTTAATTAGCAAGAATAACGTTTCGAGTTGTGGTCTACAATCGGTGGTTACAACAAGCTGAGAAGCTGATTATTATTCGGGGTGAAAATATTGGCTGAATACAGATTGCTTGTTTCATTCCAAATAATGGAATTCCTATTTTTTGGATGTTTGTGATTTCTCCATGGCTATAAATACGGATAACCAATATCTTTAGAAAAACTAAGTAAATTTTTCCTAGAACAAGTGGTTTCCTTTTTCATGGCGAAACATCTAATTAATACGATTAGAAGATTAGGTAGCAAAGTAGGATGTTCTGTGATTGAGAATCGTAGTCGTCGTGTTTCGGATTAATATCGCGCTTCTAACTGTTATAACCCTATGGATATAGGCTTTTCCTCATGGTACATTATGATATCTAGAAGTCATAAGCACACTATCTTCGGTAAATTTATTCTTACTTTTTAAGTGACTGCAAATAGTGAGTCATTTGAAGTGAGGATACCTGTAAACGCTTTCGTTGAGATTATGGTATATTTACTTTTTTCGAGTGAGAGACGATCTTTTTACCAAGAAGGTTCTCAGGATGTCCACTTTTACTTTGAAATTCAAAGATAACGTTAAGTTGCTCACTGAGGTATTAGCAGAAACCACTTTAAGGTAACTATGTAGCTTTAGGTAATGCGTCATAGAAGTAAGCAGCGTAGGTTAATTGTGTCTAAATATATTGAACGTTGTATAACTGGTCAAATCGTAGCTCTCACATACTAGTTAGTCTTATAAATAATGAATGCACCGTACAAACGTTTACTTTGATTTGCATATGTAGCTCATAAGCATTATACCTGCATGTGGTATACATTTAAGGCTCGTACTTTGTGTTAATTTCCTTGGCGGATATAATATATGTTCCACTCGCGGAGATTTTCCAAATGTCACTGACCCAGGCTAAGCTACCCAGGGACTGGAAGGATGCCATTATAAGCCCTATATTCAAAGAGGGGGACAGGCAATGGGTATCTAACTACAGGCCGGTAAGTCTGACATGCATCATAGCAAAGGTAATGGAAACTATTATAAGGGATCAGCTATTAGCTTATGTTGAAACACATGGTTTACTGGCAGTTGGACAGCATGGATTCCGACCAGGACGATCCTGCTTGACAAACTTACTGTTAGCTAGGGAAGATTGGGTCGAGGCCAGAGATAAAAACCTTCTGTTGGACGTGGTTTTTATTGATCTTAGCAAGGCATTCGACAAAGTATCCCACTTAGGTCTACTTAGTAAACTTAAAGGTTTCGAACTAGGCCAATGCCTAATGAATAGAAGGCAGAAGGTTAGAGTTAACGGTGTACTATCAGGGTGGAAAGCAGTATCCAGTGGAGTGCCTCAGGGAACTGTATTAGGCCCCTTGCTATTCCTATTATATGTTAATGAGCTACCAGGGATTCTTACTTCATCTTCATTGTTATTTGCAGACGACATTAAGATATGGAAAACTGTAAATAATAACGAGGATAGGTCGGCCCTACAAACTGATCTAGATAAATTAGCTGAGTGGTCGAACCTGTGGAGTTTGGAAATGAATTCTAGGAAAAGCGCAGTAATGCACTTAGGTCAGAAGTCCTATACGTCGTACTCCCTAGGGAACACAGAACTACCTGATGTTAACGAACAGAAGGACCTAGGAATCATTGTCAGCAATGATTTGAAAACAACTGCAAATTGCAATGCAGCCACAGCTAAGGCTTTTCGAATGCTATGGGCACTCCGTAGGGCTTTCAAACGATTAGATGAGGGCATGTTCCAAATACTCTACGCAACATATGTCAGGCCTCATATAGAATACTGCATACAAGCGGCGGGTCCATGCTTCAAAAAGGAGGCATGTATCCTGGAAAGAGTACAGAGAGTAAGAATGAAATTAGTTAGTGTTGTCTCACACCTTCCTTAAGATAAGAGGATGGAGCATTTAAATCTCTTCCCGTTATCATACCGAAGGAAGAGAGGTGACTTAATTTTAGCATACCGTATACTTAAGAGTGATTTAGGAACTGACCTTTCTAAACTTTTCTCTCCTTCTAGGATACATTTACAGGGTCACCGCAAGAAAGTGCTGAAACCGGGGACGATTAAAATACGTGCAGAATTTAGATTCTCTCACAGAGTGGTCAACGACTGGAACTCCTTACCTGATTCATTAGTAACAGCTCCGTCGGTGAACGCTTTCAAAGAGAAGTTAGATCTCTACAGAGATATATTTTGCAAGGATTAACGCAGACCACAAGAGCCTTCTATCCTTATCAACTGAATCTGAATCTACCCTCAACCAATAAATTTGAAATAAATCCAGGCGGTTGATTCAAGCTCAAGGTCGGTTTGTTGCTCGTTTGCATGTGTTTCCAACTTTGCAAATAAAAGTAGGTTTTTAGTGGTATTTTAGGTAAATATCAGTAGGCACCGGCTTTTGAATATAAAGCAGTCCTGCAATAAATAACCAGGCAGATAATATCTGCTTCAATGCATATATATGTTGGTAATATATTAAGTAATGTGGGCCAAGTTAAACTTTAAGTGCTAGTAACTACCAACGAAGTGCTTCTGTGCCAATGACTTTAAATGGTCCAACGAATTTTATTCACGTGAGTTGAGGCCTTTATTGCCCTTGATTTGAATTAAATGTTTGCTCTGACAGAGTTGTTTGAAATTTGATAAAGACCAAGTCTTTCACTATTGCTTAGATGTGGGACGCATGCAAATTCTATTGAAGACTTTTGAGAAAGATAAGGAAACCGGATTTGAGCCATTAATGGATTGCAATAGGATGTTATTCGCAGTCGTTAAATTCTATGCTATCAAATTTCATACAATATTACGTAACGTTTTTATTTTATTCGATTTGTCTACCAATACTTACTTTACTTTACTTCAGCTATCTCCTACGGGAGGATGAGCCGGCTTCATGAACATCTCGAATCATCGCTGCCCAGGAGCGGCGATCTGATGCAACGTTTTTGCGACAGGGTTATCCAATTAAGAGAGTTCATGAAGTTTCATGGGAATTTGGTACGAGTGATGTCCTCAGAATCGCTCGGCCTTTTGTTTGAGAGTGCAGCTCTAGCCTTTACACAACCAAGTGTGCCCTACAAGGCAGTAGGAGTGGAGTAGGGAGTCCACTACCCATTGGCAGCCGGTGACCGGAGTTCGGTTCATACTCCTTTTTGAATGGGGCCAGACATCCAGGACCTCCAACAAGCCCTTTGTCCATACGTCTGCCGGTGAGCTCCAGTGAGCTTCATACGCCAGTCGTTGAAGGTTTGGAATCAGGGTTTAGCCATCTCCCCTAGACTGTCATCCAATAGACAGTCAACCCGGTGAAGAGCGCCGGGCATCCGCTTTCGCCCTCTCACTTTGGTGAAAAACACCTCCGCCACGTGAAGGCAGTGAGTAGGACTTCCTCAGGAGAGGCTATGTAAGACGCCTGGTCACATGGGAGCATTTCGAGAGGTGTGCGGATGGGTGGCCAACCCGAAGCGCAAGGCACCCACCCCGACCATCCTGAGGCTTTGTCTACCAATCTTATAATTGCACACCCTTTTCAAGTTCTATCCATCCTATGAATTATTCTATATATGACATTAATTTGTTTTGCCACTTGATATATAACTATGATTATAATCACAGGCATTTTAGTTTTAATTGCATTTCATACTACTATTACTATTATTTTATACATTCACACCTATTATTCAATTCCCTCACCGGATATAACTTCTTAAAAACCATAGAAATACGATTTTACAGCTTGATGATAAATTCGTTGAAAAGAGTATCTTCGCTGAATCACCGCTTGTTTTGATTTTCTGTATTATTATTCAGCGATATATTTTAAAGGTTTTAAGCCGAAGTTAAACTACTTTAGCCAAAATCACAGTGATATTGAACGATCAATCAGAATTCAGACGGTGTAAAATACCCATTTGGACATTGGAAAGAAGAGAACACAAAGTTCAGCAAAGGTATCTTAGCGGCGGTTTCACTTTCAAAAGTCTTACATACATAATTTTACATGGATACGATTTTTTTATGCTTGATTCCACATAATTACAAAGGCGAATAAAAGGTGACAATTGCTTTCAACCTGATATAGTTTACGAGAGGCTTAGAAACAATATTACACAGGATTAGAATATATTTGTAAAATAGTTATTTTAAACGAATTACAAGTGTGGGCAGGAAGAGCATGGAAACAAACTTAAAATAACTGTTCGTATGACTAAAAAATGGAATGAATTGAATGAAGACAAAGAGAGAAATCACACACACAGCGAACGGAAATAATTGAAAAAAGGGAACACACCTAACTAGGTCCATGGTAGTTGTAGAATTTGGACTAATTTCTTTTGAACACACAGCTCTGGCTTTTCGATACATATTGTGAGGGCTTCTGCAGTGCAGAGAAGTCGGAAACACACTGCTTTTGGTAGGTTTTTGTTGACTTCATAAATTACTTTGAATGAATCAGTTGAGATGTTATGGGAGGTGTTGAGCAGATGTTCAATAATAGCACTTCTGATTGAATCGGTGCCTCCTTTTCGCAGCCATACTGAGTAATGTTCTCTAACACGTTTTGAAAGGACGCTCGTACAACCCTATCTAGTTGAAAATAATTGTCACCTTTTATTCGCCATCGTAATTATGTGGAATCATTTAAAAGTATGTATTTAAGTGCGACTGTACAGCTTTTGAAAATGTAATCAGAATTCAGACACGAAATATCTCCTAGTCGTTCGAGAATGCATTATTATATTAAGCTATTTAACTTCCACTTATGTGTTGTAAGGATTCCTAGTCGCTACACGGATAATCTGTAAAGAATTCATACCATGCACGACAAACATATTCATCCAGGTGACTGCACATCATGGTACTTTGAGCTGCATTGATATTTCTAACATGGTTCTCCAACTTTCCCCTAACTCTATCCGTAATCCTAACTCTAATTTCAAATCTAATCCTAACCTTAACCCCAGACCCTAACCTTAATCTCAAAACAACACGAGAGTATAGATTTACAGAGGAAGTTCTCGGGGAACAAGTAGTATACTGTATTTACCCTCGATAAATCCACAAAGACAGGCATGGTTGGATTTAGAATGGCCTTCCATAGCGTTCCTTGAATCTCATTGGTTCTTATAGGTCAGCTCTTGATAGATTTTGACTTTGACTGAGATAGTTTACATCTGCCGGTTTTAATTCACTCACTTTTATAGGTGAAGCATATGTGTGTTGTTTACCATCACTCAAATTTTGTGTCCTTTACAGGCTCTGTTGCTGTACGGATTTCGATGTCTAAAGCCATATTGATTCACACTTTCTGGTGCCAGTAACATTACACTGCATAACTAGATATTGCAGCCCAATGGAACGTTTAACATTATTTCACTTACGGCAAGCGCTTAGGAGTAATGAACCGGAGACGAGCACAATCCTTGATCAAATGGCTACAGAAAATCTTGTTCGGCAGGTGTACAATGAGAAACTTTGCCAGTGGAAAGACAACGCGCTTCGATTGTTCAAAATGGATCATGTAAACTACCTCTACAAGAAAATTTACAATCTACCCTCTAGTTTTGAACAATTGGATGCAAGTCAGTCCTGGCTGGCGTATTGGATGGTACATAGTTTAGGCTTGTTGAACGCTGAGATCCCGGAAGAAATGTCTCTGAAGCTGATATCACTAATAGCAGATATGCAGGTATTTAACACTTGTTATTTTCAAAAATTTTCTGTAGAAGCCAAGTTTGTATTTGACTCAGTTTGAGAATTATAGTTGTTTCTGGGGGCCTGTAAACTATTATTGATGATTGGAATTAAGTTTCAAGTTTCTGCACTCCACAGATTAGTGGTACATCTGGTAATTTTGACTTAGTGTTTTGAAATAAACTCTGTTAGTCTACTTGCTACTTTCGATGCGATATGATCAGGTGAAAACTTCTTAGAAAAGTGGTGCGTATAAAGCCGCCTTTAATGGAAGCGTTAAAAAAAGAATAATTGCCATACTCATGTAAGAAGTTTCAGCTTCCTAGTGTCTGAAGAAATTGTCAAAAATGTAATATACCAGTTGGGTTAACTAGTGTATTGCAGTTGATAGTGCGTCACAATAATTGTTCACCTTGAAATCACTTTATTAAGGCGTATATTTGCATATTTTCAACATATCGGTTAAACTGCTTACTGCACTTAAGTTGTAGCCTGTTTACTGAATCGTATTGTTCATTTGTCAGTAATGTGTAATTGTGCTCTTGGAAGTGTGTGGGCGGTTGTTACTTTACGGCTGCCCACACCGTCGAAGTTGACTGATTCTTCGGGTACCTGAAACAATAAGAGGGTTAGTGTTGCGTGACCGCAGAGCCAAGGGGATAACTGCTTGAGGCCGGTCACACACGGCCTGTATGAACTGGTTTCTTGGTTTGGTTCCGCCGGTTATGGACCACCGTAGGTTGAGTCAGGATGTACACTTCTTGGGTCGACCTTTTCTAACCTCCTCTCTGCAGAGTGGAGAGACAGCATAGCTGGTTCGCATGCTGGTCATCTGAGGGAAACACCTCACTGCTGTTACATCCCTGTTTCCCAGCAGTACGACTTCGCCCATAGACCCCCAGCATAGTGTAAAAGAAAAATTCTTTGCCGGTAACTGCTTTTAGTCTAATCGCTATCGTAACAACCTGTAGGAACAATAGTTCCAGCCAGTGTAGCTTGTTGGGTCATTGCGATATGCAAGCCCGACCACCATGTGTTAAGGTAGCAGCTCACCAGCTCCGTCGAGGCGGATTCAAACCGCCGGCCTAAGTATCACTGCACCAATCTAAAGTCCTCCGGTCTACCAACTGAGCTATCGCCGCTTTTGTCTCTGTCTACTGTCTCTATTTTGCATTTCTTCTACTTTCTTCTCTTGCTTTGTGTGCTACATGGATTGTGGCGACTTGAACTGCTGCACATCGGTGCAAAGTTCTATGTTGAAAACAGGCAGACAGTAATGTGTAAACTAAACTATCTAGGTTGTTAAGCAGACATGTGCTATTTGATATTTGTTCTTCAGTAGTGAAGGCATATCCATTCCTTTAGCCCCACTGTTATGGTGTCTTAAACCCCAGAGAAATAAGTTAATCCCGATTTGGTTTGAGCTGGTAGTCACTTATATAGATGAAAAAAGCTTCTCTGTCGGTCTGCTGAAATCTTTTACCACAATTGGTCATCCCGACTAATTAATGCGAACATTGAGTTAATGTAGAAAAGTGCTGTTGCATTCCAAGCACTTGGTGTTCGTCTCGTCCGGCTGTCAAGCTCAGTAATCACGTAAAAGTCATCATTCGTCTCTTTCAAATTCTTCAAGGAAAAGTGATTTCAGGTGAACTGAACACCTGGGAATTTTCACTCACTTACATGCTTTTGATAGCACACAAAAATTTTCTTATCATCTAGTCATTTTGATGATATTAGATAGTTGTAGGCAATCGGCCACAGGAAGCCTTGCCTGGACCTAGGTTTCGTGCTGGTTGGCACTCACTAGTCAGCAAGGTGTATCTGCAACCCTGAAGGAACTCATGTCCATTCTGAGATTCGAACCCGCGTCACCCAGTGAGTGCAGCAATCAGAGACGTTACCACAGAGCCAGCTATTCGGGCTGGCGATTGACCTCCTGTAGGACTGTAGTGGGTAGTTTGATTGGATACTAGTAACTAGTGTGACGTGTTTAGTCCTTTCTTTGTATTATTAGATATTAAATCTAATATCATCAAATCAATGTACACCGTGATGGCGAGCTACCTAGAATGGTGGCCACATTGCAAACTGGACTGGTAGAATTCTGTCTGTACCGAAGAAAGGACTAGACACGTCACACTAGTAGTTACTAGTGTCCAATCAAACTGCCCACTACAGTCCTACAGGAGGTCAATCGGGAACCGAATAGCTCAGTGGTAATATCTCTGACTGCAGAACTCACTGGCTGATGCATGTTCGAATCTCAGAAGAGACATGAGTTCCTTCAGCGAGAGAGAACAACCAATCAGAAGACGCTGTTTCTCTGCTAACAATAACCTATAATAATGTACATAAAAATGTATAAATATCTCCTGGTTTTCTCAATAAACGATCTGTTTCCTGGCCCTTGTCTTCTGTCGTTACAATATTAGTGAATAACTGTTAGTAGTTCTCGTGTTCATCCATCGGTTGCAATTGAGATTAAGTAAAAGATAAGCTATATAAATACCATTTTAGATGTTAATACTAATGTCACTTTGCTTAAACCTGTTTGTTTCCCCTGTGCAGGACCCAAATGGTGGCTTCGGCGGTGGACGTTATCAATTTCCACACCTTGCAACATCATATGGTGCAGTTAACTGTTTAGTATCACTGCGTCGTCGAGATGCTCTAGATATTATCAATCGAGATGCTTTAGCTAACTGGTTACGGGAACTACGCCAGCCAAATGGTTCTTTCTTAATGCATGTAGGCGGAGAGGTCGATGTTCGAGGTGCATATTGTGCTATAGCAGTGGCTAGACTGACAGGACTTCTCAGAAAATATCCTGATTTGTTTGAATCAACTGCAGAGTGGGTGGCTAGTTGTCAGGTTGGTTTTTAGCGTCTAACATTTTGCTTAGTGGAAATTTGTATTTAATAACCTTTTGGATATAATTAGTTTTAGAAACGCTCATGAATTTTCATCATAGAATAACTTTATATGATAATAACAGTTAATACGGTGATGACGTTTTGGAGCGTAACTTATGATTGAGGTGTGATGGAGAAGATTTGTAGCTCAGGTGGATGATTTTGATGTAGTTGTGTTCTCTGAGCTGAATGGTTTATTGGTGAGGCTTTCGTTGCCCTACTAGGCAACATCTTCAGCGCATACTTCAATTTGTGGAAGTGACCTTTTAGATTTGTCCACGAGATTACTAGGCACCTCTCCTGGTTTGATTGCACAAGCAGTGATGGAAAGACTCGAAAACGTAATCCTACCAAAGATCAAATCCAAAATTTGGATACATTACGTAGATGACACGTTTGTAATAATCAAAAGAAACGAGTTGGACAAAGCTCACAACTCAATAAACAACGTTTTCAACGACATCAAATTCACGAGAGAAGAGGAATCCGAGAACAAAATCCCATTTTTAGACGTCTTAGTCAAGCGAACAACCACAGGGGAATTAGAAACTCAAGTTTATAGAAAATCAACTCACACATACCAAATACTCAATTGCAACATCAACAATCCGATGACACACAACAGGAATTGTATATAAACACTATTCAAGAGGCCCAAACGTCATTGTAGCACTCCCACTTTAAGGAAAATTGAAGAAAGATATCTCATGGACGTCTTCCAAAAGAATGGATATCCACGGGATTTCATCAAAAAACATATACCCCCAAAGCAACACACCAAATCAAAGGTCCCCAAGGAAAGCACAAAGAAAATCACCCAACTATAAATTAAAGACATCTCAGAAATCACTGCAAGTCTCTTCAAACCTTGATGAAGAATTGATGTCGCACACAAACGAACAAAATTACTTCACTCAGTTTTATGTCAACCAAAAGACTCAACAGCGAAAGAATATAAAACCAACATCATCTACAGCATAAATTGTGTCAAGTGCGAAAAACACTACATTGGTCAAAGTGGACGTCCCCTTCGTCTTCGTGTCTGTGAACATAAACTAGCCATCAAAAGACATAACATCCACTCCTTCATATCGCCTCACAGCATACAGACAACCACGGACATCAATTCGACTGGGACAACCAACGTTCAAATATTACGAAGAGGGAACACAAAGAATGCTAGAGAATGGTTTTAGAAGCCTGGTATTCCAGTGAATCGTCAATTAATAGACACTATTGATGGATAAAATTTACCAGTCGATAAGAAGGAAATCTCACACACAAAGGATCAAAGTTCAAGTCAAAGAAACAATCAGTACCAATACAAGTAAACTAGAGAGTGTGAAAACACACAAAAGCAACCAATCACGTTCAGGGTCACCCACCAAGAGAGATGACTAATAAACTCGTGGAGAAATCTACAAGGTCACTTCCACAAATTGAAGTATGCGTTGAAGATGTTGCCTAGTAGGGCAATGAAAGCTTCTCAAATGAACCATCCAGCTCAGAGAAAGTGAGGAGTTCAAGACTCGTCTGGAGGCACTGGGTATTAAGAGGATTAGAGCGACTCCGTATCATCCGCAGACAAACGGCTTAACCGAAAGGAACAATCGTACACTCAAGGAATGGTTAGCTGCGAAAAGAGGCAACTGGGAAACTGACTTACCGTTGGTATTGCTAGCACATCGTGCCACAGTACAAGGGACAACAAAAAAGTCGCCTTTCCAGCTGATGCATGGGAGGAAACCACGCTTACCGGTGCACCATAAGACTTGCCCACAACAACAAAAATGGAACAGTAAGAGATGGACAAGTGAGCGGAAACAAGCTATTCAGAATATACAAGAGAAGCGCAAGAAAGACATCGAAAATTATGGCAAGAAACAAATCAAAGCTTGGAAGCTCTTTGAAGTAGGCGACCAGGTGAAATGTAGAGAACGAAAGTATACTACCGGAGTGGACCAGGATCAGGAAAGCTTCTGCCGAAGTGGGAGGGACCATATGTGGTCACATCGAGACGCGGTCCAGTGTACACAATAAAGAGAGGAGATAAAGAGAAAAGAGTAAACGCCAGTCTGCTACAAAGATGGAGACAAGAATGTCAAGACGAGGTACCAGAAGAGCAGCAGGATGAAACGTCTGTGCGGCGATCAAGGCGGTTACAGGAGAGACTTTATAATGAGGGGGCGAGTGTGGTGAGTGCTACTTATAATTCGATATAAGTAGTATATCAGGAACGAAGTAACAATATGTTTGGCACACTGGAAAGAGCAATCAAAGAAGAGGACCATGAGAAGAATGTTGCCATATGATGCAGAATCCAAGAAGCTATCGAATGAGACGATATTCGACCAATTCGTCAAGGATGTGGTAAATGATGTGCAAATGGCCGGTTGAGAATATGGTATACCAAATTTAGCTATGTACCATACGTTTCAGCCTCCTCAGTCTTGTCTTCTTTACATTAAAAGTAACTTATAATTAAAAATCGTATCAAGGCATTCGCATAGCTTTGAAACTTTATAATATTATTTCGTATTCTTTGATTTTATTGGCAGTAATGCTTTACGTATCGGCGTTGCATCATTCCTGTTGCATGTGTTAGGTTTAGATTTCATCGGCATAAACCTCTCTCTTCACCTACCTATGTTACTTTTTAGAAACGTAACTCTATCCCACCCTATTGTGTATTAATGTATATATTTCAATTGCTTAGTTTTTCTCTAAATTAATCATCTTGCTAGGGTCAGTTAAATAAATGTATTCCCTTTATGAATTTCAGTGTAGGAAAGACAACAGTTTGTTTAGAATATGATGGTACCATCGTTTATTTCGTTGGCTGCCCATCAGCTGCGCACAACCTCTGGAAAAGCAATACTTGAAAATTGATCTGATGCTCACTAGCGACTGGCCCTATTCAGGTAGGCAGTTATCTGGGGTTCTAGTGGGAAGCCGTAACCAGTAAGGTACAGTGGGTTGAAGGTGAGGCAGTAACTTATCGAAGAAGACATAGCAAAGTGGTCGCGCCTTGTCATGAATTGGCAGAAGTTAGAATTCTTGGACTGGCCATTGGATCGGGCGAATCCCAGTGGCTTAATAGTCTACGAGCTAGCTCGCCTTATAACCAGAAGATCCTGAGTTCGAACCCTCGCGGTGGGTGCGCACTCCTGAAGAGTTCCAAATGAGGCTGACGAAACAGCTGTCCAGTGCTTCCTGTTGGTTTTTCCAATGGTTCTGTAACTGATGTTATCTCATGATGAAATCCTCCAACCAATTAGACAAAATCCCTACAAAACCAATACTTGAAAAAAAATAAATGTTTGAATATAACGGGAAAAGTGTTACGTAATAAAAACAGGAGATGGATGAGATGATAAGTGACTAATTAGCTGCATAACAGTGCGTTGAGATTAACGCAAATCACAGAAACAAAAAGGATGCTCAGAAATACAACATAAGAAAAGCTAAGAGGTTAAAGAAAGAGACTGCGTAATCAAACAAGAAGAAAAGTTGGGACATCTAGCTACCAGGGCAAAAAAGAGTGACAACTACTTCTTTCTGAATGCATAAATCTGCTTTTAAACGTTTTATGGCAATTGCTCAGGCGAAACTTGAGGATAATTGAACTGTATTATCTGTTGGTAACTTAAAGAAATTTCGCGGTGTCCTCCTCATGACCTATATTGCTGACACACCTGGCAACAGGATTGTTGAGAGCATTTGTCCCCTTGAGACGTAGACTTTTTAGTATATGTTCAAAAAATCGAAGATGCGCTTTTCTTTCTGTTCTCCCAATGTAACTGATACGACAGATCCCTGTAAACTTCACCAAACCATTATGGATAAGATTTTATTATGATAAATCACACAGTGTTGTCATACAGTAATATTAACTGATGACCACGTTTCGAGCACAATTTATACACTGCTCATAATCATATCAAGGCATTACTCACACAACTTTCTGGCTTCATTTATATACATGAGTGGAATTGATAAGACTTTTGAATAGAAATCATTATAACATAATGTACATTCGGAAATAATATTAGTGTTATCAATCGAATGCAATAAAATGGGAAACAAGATGTTTTTTTACAGTAAAAATAAGTAACTTGTTAGAATAAATGAATTAAATGATCAAATCAAATAGATAGAAGGGGCGTTGGTGTGAAATAACTATCCCATAAAATTTATTAGAAACATCAGAAAAGGTCAAAAGCAAAATAAAAATAATGAGGAAACTAATAATGATAACATAAATAAGGGAGAATATAAGGCATCCACAGTTACACCACATAAGGATGGGACATCTGAGACCCTTCGAAGTAAGATTCTCAATAAAGCAGGAATTAGGGTGGCATTCAAACATATAAACTCACTCAGGTAGGACAAGCTCTATAGGCTAAAGGACCCAGTGGACCCAATTAGACAAAATAATATAACTTACAAAATACCTTGCAATGACTGTGAGTTAAGTCAACTACATAGGTCAAACTAGTAGATCGGGGGTAGTGAGATTATCAGAACATAAGAATTTAACTAAGGCATGAATGGTTGACCCCGAGAAGATAAGTAATTTAGAAAAAAGCTCAGCATTGGATTGCACTGCATGCATTAACAAACGATATAGGGTGGAGGGAGTTAAAATTCTAAAAAGTAATATAGTTAGATGGAGAGAGATTGATTACTGAATCCTGCCTGGTTCATCGAGCAGTCTGCACCCAACACATGCAACAGAAATGACTCAATGCAAATACCAGAGATATGGAAGATATTATTCCCGGTCAAATCGTAGAATAATAAATAATGTTAAAATGTATTCTATTCACACTATAACATTCTATCAAGTTACTTATTTTTAGTACAAAACATCTTATTTCCAATCTGACTGTATTTGATTGATAACACTAATATTATTGTTTCTGAATGTACTTTATCTTATACTGATTTTATTCAAATGTCTAATCAGTTTTTACTCGTGTATGTTGTATGAATACCTTGATATGATTATGAGCAATAAACTTTGCTCGAAATGTGGTCATCAGTAAATCTTACTGTATAATAACACTGTGCAACTTCATCAAAATAAAATACTATCCATAATGGAGTTATACTCTACCACCACAATGGCCAATTTTTATACTTTTACCACACCATATTCAGCAGGGGGTTTGTGTGAAGAGAGAGTCAGATGTCAGAAAAGAACTTGTAAGGTTTTTAAATCAGTAGCAACTGAACTGCAAAGTATAAGCTAAGATTATTAATTATTAAATGTATTATCCTCGATATTATGTACTTACAATTCAGTATGTTTCCTCCAACCTTCACTTTTTTGGGTGGTTTTGTTATGATTTTTTAAAATTTTATGTATGTACATATTTATGTAAAAAGAGTTAAATTGTTGCAATATGTATAAAAACGCTGAAAATTCAATTCCGAATTATTATTCTTATTATTGTTTGAAATAAAGTGATTATTCATTATAATAAAGGTTTTTTGTATTTCCTAATGAATGAAAAACAAAACGATATTGTTTTTACTGACGTTTCGTTATTTAATGCTGCTGCTAATAGCTTTATCAAAGTATTACTAAACGGGAATTTACAAAATCTCAGCATATATACAACAAAGAGTTAAGGGGCCACAAAATTGATTTTGACAATATTGAAATAATCCAGAAAAACTTCAGAAATCACAAAGAACGTCTAACATCATCAGAAGCACTTCATATCAAGTGGAATCGTCTGAATAGGAATGATGGACTAAAACAGAATCTGACGTGGTTACAACACCTCCCTCCCCTCCCCCATGAAGTGACAAAATCAACACGAATGTGATATGCAAGTTCACTATGTAAACACACACTGCCTTTATAATTTTAAACACTGACCTAATCCAACAATCTACACTTGATTTTGTTATCTTTACCAAATGGCTAATTTGACAACGAAAAGTGACCCCAGACTGACGAACGATGATCAAGTTAGTAAACTTTATTTTGATACCATAACAGACGTACTATTACCTTTGTTATTTGGTTTAGTGATCTTCATTGTTATTTTGACTTTCAATATGTCCTTTTAACTTGACTTAAGTCTATTTTCTCACCCCTTAACTCTTTGTTATGTATATGCTAAGATTTTGTAAATTCCGGTTTAATAATACTTTAATAAAGCTATTAGCATTAAATAGCGAAACGTCAGTAAAAACAATATCGTTTTGTTTTTCATTCATTGGGAAATACTAGAGAACCTTTATTATAATGAATATCATATACCCAATGTCCAAATTTTTTCAAACTGTTAAAAGTGAACTTGGTTTGGATATATATAAAGTGATTATTAATACTATTATTATTAAATTTGTACACACAATTAGGATATCTGTTGATCTTTGACTGTACCAAATAGCTGCAGGATAGATTCTGACTAGTGAAGCACTCAATAACAGGTATTTTTTAACACCTCAACAATCAGAGACTCTGATTTGATGATATTAGATAGTTGGAGGCAATCAGCGGGACGCCTTTCCTGGACCTAGGTTTCGTACTAGTTGGCACTCACCAGTCAGCAAAGCGTATCTACAACCTTGAAGGAACTCATGTCCCTTCTGAGATTCGAACCCGTGTCACCCAGTGAGTTCTGCAGTCAGAGACGTTACCACAGAGCCAGCTATTCGGGTTCACGATTGGCCTCCTGTAGGACTGCATGGGATACTATGATTGGACACTAGTAACTAGTGTAACGTGTCTATTCCTTTCTTTGGTGTAGACTGAATTCTATCAGTCAGGTTTTGCAATGTGGCCACCATTCTAGGTAGATTGCCGATTGCCTCCAACTATCTAATATCATGAAATCAATGTGCACCGTGATGGCGAGCTACCACCTAGAATGGTGGTCACATTGCAAATCTGACTGACTGATAGAATTCAGTCTGCACCAAAGAAAGGACTAGACACGTCACACTAGTTACTGATTAGTGTCCAATCAAATCAGAGACTCTTCCATCAATTTGTGTCAGTAGAATATATTCTTCTAGCCTTGCAAAAGTTTTGACCAATGCTCGTTTATAACACAGGAGCGGGACAACTTAGATTCCACAAACTGTGTTTTTACTCAAATGTATTCTTATTTTACTACTACTACTACTACTTGCCAATAACTTTCTTTTTGTAGACCTATGAAGGTGGTTTCGGTGGTCAACCGGGATTGGAAGCCCATGGTGGTTACACTTTCTGTGCTTTGGCGACATTGTGTTTCTTGGGTAGATCCGATCTAATTAATTTGCCTAGACTATTGCATTGGGCAAGTCACCGTCAGATGGCAACTGAAGGTGGTTTCCAGGTAGATTTTGCCTATGTTTAATTTATTATTGGTATCAATAGTAAAGTAATGATGTTCTGAACCCTCGTATAGTTTACCAACCGACGCCAAGCTTGGAAACAGGGGAAAGGCGTGGGGCTCCCCTGGAAAATCAACTAAATCGCTGTAGTAACTCAAGGTACAGAAAAAATTTGGAAAATAAGCATATTGTTATCTGGGATCACTGAGGCGGAATAATGCTGGTTTCAACCAATTATTGATATAAAAATAAAACTTGTGCACTGTGGTAGGCGTCCCGTCGAGGTCGCCAGTGCGTCGGTGGCACAGCGTATGTGGTCCGGGTTTCGATCCCCGGTTGACGAGGCACTCCTTCGCCTTGCCAAACCAGTAATGAGACTGGTAGGGAGGGAAGGTTGGGCAAGAGGCTAGCAACCCCATCTCCTAGGAATAAATACCACCGCCATCGAAATTTCAAAGCTCTAGCTTTAAACCGCCCTTTTGTTCCACTGGGAACGTAAAGGAATAAAAAAAAACTGTGGTAGAGTATAATTCCATTGTGGGTAAAATTTATTTTGATAAAGTCTCACAGCGTGTTATGCAGTAATATTTACTGATGACCATATTTCAAGCACAATTTATTGCTGCACATAATCCCAATATCAAGTTACTCACACAACTCCAACTTCGTTTATATAATTCCATTATTTCAGTTCATCGCTTGACTTGATTAGTTGTAGTATTTTACATATTTCCGGAATGAGTAATGAGTCATTGCTTCTTACTGCACGTATTGGGTGTAGATGCGATGAACCAGGATTCAGTAATCAACCTCTCCCTCTCTCCACCTACCTGTATTACTTCTTATAATTTTAATCCTCTCCCACCCTATGTTGTGTGGTTGTGTGTTAATGCATGCAGTGCAATATAGTGCTGAGCTCTTTTTCCAAATTACTTATCTTCGTGGGATCAATCATTCTAACTTAAGCTAAATTCTTATGTTCTGATAATCTGACTACCCCCGATCTACTAGTTTGACCTATGTAGTTGATTTAACTCTCAATCATTGCAAGGTATTTTGTAAATTATATTATTTTGTCAAATTGGGTCATCCTAGGAGGTCCTTCAACCTACAGAGCTTGTCGTACCTGAGTGAGTTTGTAGCAGTAATTAGAGTAGCATTTAAACCTTCACTGTGAGACCATATCAAAATGAATTTTACTCATAATGGAATTCAACCAATTATTATTCTTCTCTTCAAATTTTGTTTACTCCAAGCATATACACATATAATCAACGCCCCCATGATTTTTTTATTTTTGTCTGTTTGTTTTTTCTCTCTGAAGGGTAGAACAAACAAATTGGTAGACAGTTGCTATTCATTTTGGCAAGGTGCTCTTTTCCCAATAGTTGAAGAATTGTTATGGTTGTCAGGTGATCCTGCCCTCAGTGAGACTGACACCTTATATAACTCAACTGCTTTGCAAGTAAGACTTGACAGTTTAATTTATATATGTATATATGTGCGAATTATTTCTAAAGCACTGACTGATTGACTGGTTTCAACAGAGAACTTTGCACAAATGTGCAGCAGTTCCTGACGCCACACTCCCATTATGTAGGACACAATGCACGAGAAGAAATTAGAAGAAATGCAAAATAGAGACAGTATACAGGGATGTGAGACAAAAGGAATAGTAATAACGAAGAACAATATAGTTTTATTGGATAGTATAAGTCACAAGGAGTGGATGCATCTGCACCAGCCATTGAGAACGATTTTGAGAGATATCACCGATTGTCTCCAGTCTTCATTGGTTTTTGCCGCCCCGAGGACCCCAACCAGAAAGTTTACACCCTCCTATGTCAACTAACACTGTCCGTCGAGGAAGGCGATGGCTAGGGATGCGCAACATATGTCCTGGACATCTCAGTCGATGTAACTTCACAACCTCGTCTATTGATTTCCCCTCCTTACCTAGCACTCGACCGATGCCTAACCTCAATATTGCTCACCCTATTATTCCAGCACTTCACACGGGAGATAGAATGGAGGCGCCTATGATCAAAGACAGCTAGTCAGGATTTTCATGTCCTCCACTCTCAATTGTCAGGTCTCACAGCCAACCGTAAATGAGAATTGAGCGAACTACTGAACAGAACACATTTCCTTTGGTCGATAGCCTTCTGTATTTGAGCTGAGATTTCGTCAGAGATCAACCCGTTGGCGTTGGCTGATGCAACTTTCCAAATAAGTGAGGTGGTCAACACGCTCCACCAATCACTTCATTCCCTATTTCTAATCTAGGAGTCAATGTAAAAGTGTTAGTGTTAACAGATGTGAATTAAGCTGAATTTAATGATGGAGGAAATGGTGGTCACTTTGAATCCACAATTGTAAAATTTTCTGCTTGTTTTCTATTATTATTACTACTATTATTTTATTTCGATTCATAATATTACGAATTATTCTTGATTTATTTAAAATTATCCTTTGTCAGTGTCAGGATCTTGACTCGATTTATTATTATTATTATTACTATTATTATTGGCACAGGTCAGCAAAGCGATCTATTTTCGTAACTTCACTTTTAAACTGTACGGTGATTTGGGGGAGGGGTTATATTATTATTTTACTATTATTCTCTTGGGTTCCGAGTGGAAAATAGGGCTTTGACAATACATCTCCACGTTGTTCTATTTTCTGCTGTCCTCTTAAGTTGGCTAGCTCCACGGTTGCCCATCATTTTTCATCTCCTTCTCGCTACATGATCTCCTTCATTTCACCTTCGCACTGACAACCCACTCGTCGCATGCTTCCCATTTGCGCGCGATGTCATTCGACAGCCTCCTCAAAATATGCCCGATCAATCCATCTCCATTTTCTCCTACATATTTGTTTAGCGATCGCCTCCTGTTTGGTTTGTTGCTAGCCAGAGTTGCTTGTTACCAATTCTTTCTGTTGGTAAAAGTCTGCAACCTATTGGAAATCCTTTTCGTTATCCACGCGCAGTTCAAGTTTCTCACACGTACAGAAGAACTGACTGACTGATTGATTTCACATCTGTGTTGAATACAATCCGAATCTTGTTGTTTATTTTGCCTGGTTGAGTTACAGTAGGAGATTTGCAAACTGGTTTTAGGTTGATTAAAGCGCATTTTGCCTTTCCGATTCTGGCTGACTGGCTTTGACATCTCCCTCCCTTCCGACTACCTGCCTCCTGGCTGGATAAGTGAAGGCAAGAAGTAACCTGTGTGAAATCTCTCCCGTTGATGATGATTGGTGCTGGTTGTTGTTGCTGCTGGTTGGTTATCTTCATAACCTCCGTCTTCTATATGTTCGCCTGGAATCCTGTCTTCGCCAGCTGCTTTTCCAGCCAGTTTGTTGGTTTCCGCCTTCCTGCAAGTCTTCGAGTTTGTTTATTTGGAATTTGTTATCTCGGTGTAGCGAAATTATGGATACATTATTCTCCAAGTCGTCATTTGCACAGATCTTCAGTGTGCGTGCTTCTTCTGCTGCCTTGTATTGTGTTTCTTTGTCTTTATCTTCTTTTCGTGTGTGCCTTCCATGTTTTACCGCAACTCTGAATCATTTGCTGTCTTTGACGTTAAATCTATCTCTCCGTTATTTGATATTTTTGTGGCAGCGATGAACGTGTTTTTATATTCTATTGATAAAACTTATCAGTAACACATGCCACATATACATATCACTGCATGTAAAGCATTCTGTTAAAGAGTTCTACCCAAATTTAATGCAAGCAACAAAGGTTGATAAAGCAGGATTTAGTGATGAATTCACCAAATTTCGGTAGAACTCGTCAGCTGAATACTCTACATACACGGATATATATATATATATATACTTTTGAAATTACATTGGGACATATAAGACTGATAAGTAAACAAAGTATATCGAATTATTCATGCAGAAAGACAGGTGCGAATGTTTTCCAGGTGATGTTCAAACAGCTAAGTAGAGGAAAGGAGTATGAGAGATAAAAATTAAGATGAAATGCATTACTCTTCAATTACATCACTTAGATAAACAATTAGTCATCAGAGAATATATTAGGAATTGCAAACAGAGTAATATCAATAATGTTGACTCGCTGGCTGGATTCAACATAGAACTTGGCACCGAAGTGCAGCAGTTCCAGTTGCCACGTTCCAAAGAGCACACAAAGGTTGACAAGAAAATGAGTGAAGAGAATCAATAGAGTTTTGACAAGTATAAGAGTGAAACAGAATGAGTAATAGTAGAAAGGAATATGAAAGATTACAGAGACTGAATACATCTGCGTAAACCATTGACAACGATTTTAAGCCATGTCACCTATTGTCTCCAGCCATTGATCCTTAGAGTCCCGAGGGCGGGCCCCAACCCGGAAGTCTGCATCTCCCTACCTGACTCAGTTTAACTGTCAAGTATTTCATGGATTGATGAGGCCATGTTTTTGTTTGGCCACCACTTACTCTTTTCCAACCTGCACCTATATCAGCTAGTAATGGCCGTCGGGGGAGGCGATGGTTAGGCATGCGCAGCACGTGACCTAGCCATCTCAATCTATGTAAATTTATAGCCTCTTCGATTGATTTTCCCTCTTTGCCCAACACTCTACGCCTAACGTCGACATTAATTACCTTATTATACCACCTAACGTGAGAAAGAGATCGTAAACATCTGTGGTCAGAAACAGACAACCTTTTCATGTCTTCAATTCGTATTGGCCATGTTTCAAAGCCATAGAGAAGGACGGGGCGAACTGCTGAGCAGTACACACGTCCCTTGGTTGACAGTCGGATGTCACGCCTACGCGGGAGATGGTGTAAGTTAGCGAAAGCAGCTCGAGCTTTTTGGATCCGTGCTGAGATTTCGTCACCAATCAGTCCGTTGGTGCTGATACAACTTCCCAAATAGGTGAAGTGGTCAACATGTTCTATCACTTCACTCCCTATCACTAAATTAGTTGACGTAGTCCAGTCAGTCCTGTAGCAGCATCTTACATTTTACAGGGTCGAATCGCATGCCAAACATACGAAGATTGCTGCTCAAGGTGTTCAGAAGACTCTGCATTTTGTCAGCATCCTCCCCTAACAGGACTATGTCATCTGCGTATTCTAAGTCGATAAGACTATTCCCTGGTAACAAGTCGATTCCTAAGTCGTTAAGTTTAGTTAAGGATACTTCCATTAGCATATCTATGATGAAGTTAAACAGAAAAGCGGAAAGTGGACATCCTTGACGGACGCCACTGGTTGTTATCAATTCAGATGACAATTCCCCATAAGCCCTAATATGGCTACTTGAGTTTGAGTAGAGTGCCTTGATTAATGCAATGTACTTTCTTGGCACTCCCTTCACAGTCAAACATTGCCATAGTACTTCTCGATCCACGGAGTCGAAGGCCGCCTTCAAGTCAAGAAATATGGCAATTGTTGGACGCCTAAAAGTGTGTCTATGTTCTAGGATCTGTCGGAGAGTGAAGATATGATCTATGCACCCTCTACCTGGCCTAAAGCCCGCTTGATTTTCCCTCGTTTGTTCCTCCCGAGTTCGGCTTAGTCTGTGCATGATTACTGAGCCTAGGATTTTAGAGACTATGTTCATCAGGATGATTCCTCTATGATTATCACATGAGGACTTGTCTCCCTTAATGTTGAAGTGAGTTAAGATAATCCTGTGGTGAGTGCTACTTATAATCCGATATAAGTAGTATATCAGGAACGAAGTAACAACATGTTTGGCACACCGAAAAGAGCAATCAAAGAAGAGAACCATGAGAAGAATGTTGCCATATGATGCAGAATCCAAGAAGCTATCGAATGAGACGATATTCGACCAATTCGTCAAGGACGTGGTAAGGATGTGCAAATAGCCGGTTTAGAATATGGTATTCCAAATTTAGCTATGTACCATACGTTTCACCAAAAAATAAACAATCCTTTCAGTCTCCTCAGTCTTGTCTTCTTCACATTTGGTGTCGCTGCCTACCGACAAATGGAAAGCCTATGCCCTGCAGTTTTTGATGGAGACATATGGATCTTCGGGCAGGACTTCGAGGCTTCTTCGCAGTTGAGTGGCGTTCAAGATCTGTCAGCGATGAGGCTGCTACTTGGGACGCTGCTGGGAGGTCGGGAGAAAGCAGCATATGGAAGTGTGAGGCGAAATACCTACGAATGTGCGACAGGGTCAGGCAAACAGTTTCCAAAGTGGGAAGGACCATATATGGTCACGTTGAGATGGGGTTCCGCAGACACAATCGCAATGGTAAACACCGTTAAACAAGTGGACATCCGCAAGCGCCGAGATTCCAGACAGCAAGACAACAGAGCAAAGTCCCAAGAACCGAGAGGATCGAGCCGACTTCAGTCCAAACTATTTGACGGGGGGACGAGTGTGGTGAGAGCTGTCTACTAGCCAAGTGGTGGACAGTAATTGAGGTCAATGTTTATGTATCAAATATTAGTCATGTTGTGGTGAGAGATGGTTGCTGGCCAAATTGGTTGACAGTAATTGAGGTCAAAGGTCAAGGTGGACAGGCGGTTACAGTTAACATATAGATGAACTGACACAGCCAAAAGAGATGCAAGGTTAACTTTGTGTGAGAAACAACCAATCAACAGACTGTATTTTCTACTAACATTGACCTACAATAATGTACATAAAAATCTATAAATACGTGTTGATTTTTCGTAATAAACGATCTGTTGCCTGGCCCTTGTCTTCTGTTGTTACAATCCTACTGATAAAAGGTAATTTTAAATGAATCAAGAATAATAAAAATACGAAGTAGAATAATAAGTGAAACGTATTACTATGGTATATTCAGAGTGATGACCATCTGCTTTTGTACACAGAGACCTGGTTTATAAACTCGAATTGCACGAGCCTCTGCAATTGCAAGCATCTTCCTGTTTCCTTGTCTGCTGACCATAATGAATGGCTTGACAGCGTCGGTGTTATGTCCATAGTCCACAAGGTGTTTTGTTGTTAAGGTTTTTGGCACTTTGAAGTCAGTTGTTTTCAACCACTTTGGCAAATGCTCCAGCATCAAGCGAGTAGACAATCGCCTTTCTGTACGACCTATGTATTTGCTTCCTCCCACAAACACACTCAAATCAATATACGCAGTTTGAAGCGTCGATGATTGACGACGGGTCTTTCCAAGATTGTTGAAGCACCCGCTTGGTGGTGTTAAGGAAGATGAGCTATGCAGCATAATAATTTCTCTTGATAGCTTTATCGAGTCTTCGTTTGACTACTTCTTGTACATCATCTCCTTTGAATGGCGAATTAATGTAGACATATTTTTTCGGGGTTCATTTCTTTAGAGTATTTATTAATGAACTTCTCAGGATATCCATTCTTAGATAAAATATTCTTCAGAGATTTTATTTCATGCTCAATTGTACTGTCAGAACAAATTTCCCGTGCTCTATTGAGCAGTGTTCTGACTTAGTTCTTTTTGTACTAGATTGGAACAGGGCTGTTAAAGTGTATGTATTGTTCGTATCGGGGAATAAATGTTTTTAATTCGAAATTTAATGAATTTATTAAATCCCGCTGTATTAACTATGTGTTGCTTATTACGTTTACATTTACATATAAGTGATTGATGAAACCATAGTCTCTCATCCACAACTTCTTTCAGAAACAAAGTTAGTTTTCTCTGCAAAAGATCATGTTTAACTTTTGAGTAATATGTATTATAGGGGATAGTGGTTCTTTGAATTTCAATGCTATTTCTTATCGCGCCTACTACTACTGTTTGGTCACGTGAGCTTTGATTTGAGAACAAATCTTCATATCGTAAATAAACAGAAGCATCAATGTGGAAAGATATTCTTTCATTGGACACTAGTAACTAACTTGTGTGATGTGTGTAGTCCTTTGTTTGGTGCAGACTGAATTCTATCAGTTAGGTTTGCAATGAGGGCACCGTTCTAGGTAACTTGCCATCATGGTGCACTTTGAAATGTTGATGTTAGATGGTTGGAGGTAGTCTGAAGAAAGTCTTTCCTAGACCTAGATTTCGTGCTGGTTGGTACTGACTAGTCAGTAAGGCGTATCTGCAACTGTGAAGGAACTCATGTGCCTTCTGAGATTCGAACCCAACCAGCACAAAACCTAGATCCACAGCTTCCTTCAGATTGCTTCCAACCATCTAACATCAACATTTCAAAGTGCACCGTGATGGCGAGTTACCTAGAACGGTGGCCACATTGCAAACCTGAATGATAGAATTCAGTCTGCACCAAACAAAGGACTAGACACATCACAGTAGTTACTAGTGTCCAATGAAAGTATCCAATAAAGTCCTACAGGATGTCAATCGGTAGACCGAATAGCTCAGTGGTAACGTCTCTGACTTCAGCACTCACTGGGTGACGCGGGTTCGAATCTCAGAAGGGACATCAGTTCCTTCAAGGTTGCAGATACGCCTTGCTGATGAGTGCCAACTAGCACGAAACGTAGGTCAGGCAAGGCTTCCTGTGACCGATTACTCCCAGCCACCTAATACCAACAATAGAAAGGCATTCTGAAATTAGTAGTGTTCTCTGAGCTGGTTGGTTTAGTTGCGGAGCTTTCGTCGTCCTTCTGGACAACATCCCCCTCCAGCGCAAGTTTTAGCATAAAGTGAACTGATTTAAATTTTTTCCATGAGTGATATAATTGCGTCTCCCGGTAACCATCTTTACATCCGTACTGATCATTTTCTATTGACTTGGATTTTAAACTTTCTGGTCACACGATTTACTTTTTATTAATTGGTATATTTGGTCTATATTAACGTGTCTGTTAATTGCATATTCGTTTGAGTACCAGGCCTCTAGGAATTCCCTGAATGCACTTTTGGTGTTTCCTCTGTCTAAGATTTTGACATTATCCCAATCAAATTGATGTCCATAATTGTCTATATGCATTGATACTAAAGAATACATATCGTGTCTTTTCACGGCTGATTTGTGTTCATGGATTCTAATTCGAAGGGGATGCCCACTTTGGCCGATGTAATGCTTGTTACAGTTCATACAATTTGTAAATGGTGTTAATTTTATCTCCTTTTCTGTTGGATCTTTCGGTTTGCACAATATCGAATTCAGTGATCTGACTGGCTTGTGTGCTATATCTATTTCAAGCAGTCTTACTATTCTAGCTGTTATTTCAGAGATATTTTTTATATATGCTAGGATGAATTTTTTTATGTTCTTTGACGATGGTTTCCTGTTGGTGTTGTGACTCGATTTTAAACACTTTTTGATGAAATTTTGCGGATATCCTACTTATTAAGTAGGTTATAATGCAGCATAGCTATCGTTTTAAGGATACTAAATCAATCAGTGAGACTGTGAAGCTACGCTGATTGAAATGGCTAGGACAAGTGTTCCGCGCAAACCAAGCCCTCGTGCCCCTTCCTCGAGGAGCCAATGCCAGATGATGATATAGGATTGGTTTAGAAAAGAGTTGAAGGCGACCAAACCAAAACCTAGTGTCAAGCCCTTAAAATCTTTGACAATTCATTTGACCCACTTACTCGGGTCTATGACATCAGCTTATAGTCCTTGGAACGTTAAGAACCAATCACTAGAGAACATTGGTGAACATTCCTCTATATTAATTTAGCGTATCAAAGAAAGTGATGATTGTTTTGTGTTTTCTTTTGTTGTCTTTTATTTAGGAATATATCCTACTCTGTTGTCAGAATGTATCTTACACACAACGTTCAGGTTTAAGTGTGCATCATACAGACGACTCTTCATCATCCAGTGAAACGTCATCTCTGAGCAGAAGTTCAAGTCCAGAAGAGATTGCGTCGTCTTCTTTTGCCACTGACGGTGGACTAATTGATAAGCCTGGAAAAAATCCTGATCCTTATCATACATGTTATGCATTAAGTGGATTAAGTCTAGCACAACATTCTCCTCGACACCATAATCATGGACCACCACCACCACCAACAACAACAGACAAAAGCAAATCTGACAATCTTTCTTATCCTTCCTCAATTGTTAATCTGTTGGGTGCAGAGTTTGGAAATCAATTGGTTGATGTAGACCCTTATCATAATATTATCCATGACAGACTAGCATTTACTTTCACGTATTTCAATGAGTTAGACAATGGTCAATCATTGGAGTGTGCAGAACAATTGGCTTTAAAAGCTGCTGAGAACATCTACATCTCATCTACACGTTGTAGCCTTAGAGTAGCTGGAAAAGAGCTGGTCAACCAGAAGACAAAAGAGATACTAAGTAACTAACTAACTAACTGAACAGTGTTAGTTGTTATCTCTAGTTGTGTTGTTGGCCAATACAACACGGGATCTGATGAGTATACATAACATGTACAGCGCCAAAATAAAACAAAGAGAAAGTGTTACTGTTCGTCTTCTTTTTTATTTAACAAAAGATTTGACAAGTTTTTACTATAATTTCTTTCTTTTTAAAGTAATAAGAATGATGGCTAACTTTTTCATCATTCATTTTTCATATTGTCTCGTTGACGAAATCTCATCACGGATACAGAAGGCTAGTTTCGCATATGCGCCAGTTTATGACGTCTCTGGCTTAGTAGACATGATATCCGGTTGGCTATCGACTAAAGGGTGGGTGTACTGTTCAGCAGTTCGCTCAGTCCTCCTTTATGGCTGACTGTGAGACTTGGCCATTGATAGTGGAAGATATGAAAAACCTGACTAGCTGTCTTTGATCATAGGTGTCTGCGTTGTTCTATCTCTCGTGTGAAATAGGGTGAGTAATATTGGGGTTAGGAGTCGGTTGAGTGCTAGGTAAGTGAGAGGGGAAGTCAGTCGACAAGGTCATGAAGTTACACTGATTGAGATGGTTGGGACATGTGTTACATATGCCTAGCCATCGATCGCCTTCGTCGACGAGGAATGTTAGCCACGGACATAGGATGGATTAGGTTGCAAAAGAGCTAGTGGTGGTCAAACCAAAAGTTGGAACCAGTCAGTGAAGTCTTCACCAGTTAGTTCGAACCAGCCATGTAAGAGGGTGTAGACTTCCTGGTTGAGATCCTCGGGACGGTAGAAACGAATGGCTGGAGACAAGTGGTGATGTGTCTCAAAATCGTTGTCAATGGCTGGTGGAGATGCATCCACTCCTTGTGACTTATGATTTCCAATAAAACTATATTGTTCTTCCATATTACTATTACTAATCTCTCCTTTCTGTTTATTGTCTCTGTTTTGAATCTGTCTTCACTCTCTTATCTTGCTTCGTGTGCTACATGGAGGGGGTGGGGCAACTGGAACTGTTGCACATCGGTGCAAAGTTCTACGTTGAAACCAATCAGTCGGTCAGACGTACGAAATAGGAAATGACATCTTACCGGCGATAATGTTGTCTTCGCTTTTGCAGACACTGAGCCATGATAAATATGTGATGAATAAAAAGTTAATCATGACAGTATGCATAAAGGTTTAATGTGAGAATGATAATATAATTTAATGAAAACGATTTGGTGAAAAAGCGCTTAACAACAGCGAGGCTGTCTTATGCTCACATAACTTCAGTAGGATTTAGCGTAATTGAAAAAGGAAAATACAAGTAGAGAAATTTAACCAGAGGAAATTATATTTATATGGATACAATTCGATTCGGTGCCGTATTCATCAAAACACTTCTTTGAGAAACTGAAAATGAGAAAGCTTGCTGTTTGGTGAAGACTGGTTCATTTGTCCTTCAATTTACAGAAAATAATAGTTCCACCCTTAAGATACAAGTTAACAGTTTGACAAAATGCGTCTAACAAATAATATCTCCTTCAGTACTCGAAAAAAAACTATACACTGCTGCATCATATGAAGATACATTATTATTCTCTTGAGTTCCGAGTGGAACATAGGGTTTCAACAACACATCTCCACTTTGTCCTATCTTCTGCCGTCCTCTTCAGCTTGGACTACGGTTGTTCACAATCTCTCATATCCTCCTCACCACGCGATCTCTTCGATTTCACCCTCGCACCCCCGACCCACTCGTCGCTTCCCATTGGGATTCCACTTGAGCAATGGCGTGCATTGAGCACGATGTCATTCGACGGTCTCCTCAATGTATGCCCGATCAATCTATCTCCATTTTCTCCTACATATTTGTTGAGCAATCGGCTCTTGGTTGTTTTGTTCCACTAGAGGGTATCTTGTTACTAATTCTATCTGGCCACTTGATCTTCAGTGAGGAGCCAGCCGGCAAAGGTAGCAGCTGTTGATGAAAGTCTGCAACAAGCTGTTGGAAATCCTTTACGTGACACGCTGGTCAATTTTCTGACTCTTAAAGAAGGATCGACTTGACATTGGTGATGAAAATCATGTATTGGTTTTTTAGGGATTTTGTTTGATTGCTTGGAGTATTTCATCATGAGCTGACGACCAGTAGGGTGGAGCAGGTTGAAGATGAGGCAGTAACTCATCGAAGAAGATATTGCGCGAAGTGGTCGCGCTATGTCATGAATTGGCAGAAGTTAGTATTCATGGACTGGGCATTGGATTGGGTGAGTCCCAGTGGCTTAATGGTCTACGAGCTAGCTCGCCGTGTAATCAGAAGGTCCTGGGTTCGAATCATGGGGGTGGGTGCGTACTGTTGAGGAGTCCCGAAGTAAGATGAAGGAAACATCCGTCTAGTACTCCCAGCTGGTTTTCCAGTGGTTCTATAACTGATGTCAGCTCTTGATGAAATCCTCTAACTCATTAATCAACCAAATAAATGACATTCTGATAAATATGGAATGCCATCTTTTATCTTCTGACGATGTCACAATTTTTTGCATACAACGTAAGTACAAATATTCTCGTCACTGTTTACTTACTGTATTCATCACCAATTCGATTTTCTTCTCATCCATCTTATTTCTTTGACCAATCGAGTGACTGATTATCGGGAGGGCTAGTAACAAACATTTGCTTCCGTCATGCTTACAAAATCATTCACTTATTTCTCTGCAAATCTAACCAATCTTCTGTTGTCCTCAAGATCAACTAGAGAAGAAGCAACCATACTCAACAGCGTACGCCTTACATATTTAAATAAAAAGGGGAAGAAAACCAATAAGTTTATGAAGGTACATGGACTGAAGTAGTTAGGAAGGTTACCTGCTGCACATACCGAGATATTTCCCTACTCGGCGAGCAATGTTAGCTGATATAAGATTAGATTGGGAAATAGTTATCATTATTATTATTCCCTTGTGTTCCGAGTGGAACATAGGGCTTCAACAACACATCTCCACTTTGTCCTATGTTCTGCCGTCCTCTTCAGCTTGAACTACGGTTGCCCACAATCTTTCATCTCCTCCTCACACGATCTCTTCCATGTCACCCTCGCACCCCCGACACACTCGTCGCTTCCCATTGGGATTCCACTCGAGGACCTGGCGCGTGATGTTATTTGACCGTCTCTTCAATGTATTGCCGATCCATCTCCATTTTCTCCTACCTATTTGTTGAGTGATCGGCTCTTGGTTGGTTTTTTCCCATAGTTTCTTGTTGCTTATTCTTCCTGGCCATTGGAAAAGAGTTAGTAGTGGTCAAACTAAAATTGAGGATCAATCCGTGAAGTCGTTAGCTGTGAAGAGAGGTGTAGACTGCTTGATTTTGGTCTTTGGGCTGCTAAGAATCAAATGACTGGAGACTATCGGTGATGTGGCGGAAAATCGTTGCCAATGGTGCAAATGCATTCACCCCTATATCCATTAGTCCCACCTGTTTTCCGGTTACTCTTATTGCTTCTTAACGTTCTATGAAGTCTGTTTTTTCTCCCTTTCCTCTACTGCATGTTGAGTGTGACGATGTAAACTGCGACAGTTTTGTGCAAAGTTCCGCTTTGAAAGTTAGTCAGTTAGCCTTATATATATTAGTCACATCCTATTATCATTGTTCCTTGATCTTCTGTCCCCTAACCTTCTTCTGGCTGTTATTGAATACACGTCTTACCACCAATACTAAGTCTGTAGATTCCGGTATAAGCCAATGTAATCTGTTGTATATGTTATATCAATAAAAAACCTGTGATTAATGAAGTAATTCCTATTGTGGTGGTGTGATACAGACAATGTGTTCCAACAGAATATTATTCTCACATATTCTCACAGTTCGTGCGTCGGAGGCACAGTGGTTAGGACGCTCGCCGACCATGCGCATGGTCTGGGGTTCGATCCCCGACCGACGCACTCCTTTACCTCGCCAAACCAGTTATAAAAAGCCGGTAAAGAGGAAAGTTTGGGCATGAGGCTAGCAACCTCATCCTGTAAAAATAAACACTACTTCAGAAACTTCAAGCCTCTAGCTTGAAGCCCTATGTTCCACTGGGAACGTGAAGGAAAAACAAAAGAATTCCCACAGTTCAATACTGCATTAGCAACAGAATACTATGTATATATATTTGAACATTCTATTTCATGTCGTTTAATGTAGTAAACGAAAATCACACGCTCAGTAATTGGTTAAAGAATATAAACTGTATAGATATAAATAGCTGTTTGAACACTTAAAAGTATACCTAGGCTTCCATGTCTCACCTTGTGCTGTTACATTCGGTGCCACTGCCTACCGACAAATGAACAGCCTATACCCTGCAGTTTTTGAAGAAGGAGACATATGGATCTTCTGTTAGGCCTTCAAGGCTGTTGCGGAGTTGAATGACGTTCAAGATCTGTCAATGAAGACGCTGCTACTTGGAACACTGCTGAGAGGTCGGACGAAGGCAGCATATGATAGTGTGAGGTGAATACGCGCCAGGGTCACGCAAACTGCCTTCAAAGTGGGAAGGACCACACTGTCTGTCTGGTTTCAACATAGAACTTTGCACCGGTATGCAGCAGTTCGAGTCGCCACACTTCACTCAGCACACAAAACCAGAGAAGAAAGTAAAAAGGAATGCAAAATAGAGACAGTAAACAGAGATATGAGGCAAAAAGAATAGTAATATCGAAGAACAATATAGTTTCATTGGAAATTATAAGTCACAAGCAGTGGATGCATCTCCACCAGCCATTGACAACGATTTCGAGCCATATCACCGATTGTCTCAAGCCATTGGTGTTTACCGTCCCGAGGACCCCAACCACTCAGGAAGTCTACACCTTTCCACGTGACTGGCTGGCTTAAACTAACTGTTGTGGATTTCACTGACTGATGAGGCCACCACTAGCTAACTGTTTACCAACCTGATCCCTCCTATGTCCGTGGCTAACATTGCCCGTCGGGGAAGGCGATCGTGTCTAGGCATGCATAATACTTTTCCTAACCATCTCAATGTAACTTCACAGCCTCGTCTATTGATTTATTGTCTTTACCTAGCAGGACCACACATGGTCACCGCGAGACGGTGTCACACATATACCATCAGAAGTGC